GCTGGGCCTGCTGGGTCGCGGATTGGGCCGGATGGATGCAATTGGGCCGCAGGAAGGTGGGCTGAAGGCTCTGGAACGTGCGGGCCGAAGTAGTGATGAAGGATCGGGTGTTCGCGTCCTCGACTTGTCTCGATCACGGCTTCGCCACGGCCTTGCTCTCGACGATAGGTGTGATCGACTCGGTTATTAGCCTAACTCTCTCACGATACTTGAGTTCACTCGGGTATTAGCCTCGCTACACTCTCGAAATAGATCGGGTCTTAGCCTCTCTAAATCGTTGAACTGGCTCGGGTCTTAGCCTCACCAATTCGATTTGTATGATCGAATCTCACGACTCTCAACACACGGTTTCGAACAAACGTTCTTTTCTATTCCATTCCAAGACATCCAATTATGAAGAGTACATGGGGTATTTATAGGTGCAAAATAAATCTAGGCCTAATCAAACTAGATCTCCTATTCTATGCAATAAAATAAATCCTAATTCTACTAAATCTCTAATTAAAGCAATTAAATATTAACTAACCTAATATTCTAGATACTATTGTGCAAGAAGGAAACTAAATATATCAAAGTCCTAAATTGACTAGATCTTGATCTTGCTTGGCTTTCACTCCAAACAATTCCCAACTCTTGCCCAAGTCTTCGGCCGCCATGTACGCGTCGCGCGCCTGCCAGCTCGCGCGCCGCCCTCGCCTTTTCTACTCCTCGTGGCGCGCGGCAACCCTCGCGCTTGACTCCTACGCAGCGTCCTTCGCGCGCGCGCCTAGTCCGCCGACCTCCTCATGCGCATGCACGTCTGCTCCCAGCACTCCTATGCCCGCTGGGCTTAGGACGTCAACCGCGTACGCGCTATCGCGCCCGCCCGCTGCTGGCGCATCTCCGTCCCTTGCGTGCGTACGCCCGTAGTCCGTGCGCACCTTGCGCCCGTCCAACGCCCCGAATGCCAACGCATCCCAATCGACGCCCGTGGCCTTCTTGCTTACCGCGCGCCCTTCTGCCGCTCGTGCACGATCACTCGGCCAAAGCGCGCCATCGCTTGTAGCCCTGTTGCGCGCATCATGGCCCGATGCGCGCCATTTGCTTATTCGTCCTTTGGCCACGCTCGTCCATTCACAGTAACCCCTCGCGCGCATCAACCACCCAACATCCACCCCCTGTGTGCCACTTCGCCAAATCGTCAAGCGCCATGCGTGTCTACGCCAATGCGCGTGTGCGCGCCCTTCTTGAATGCGCCCTTTTTTGTGTGCTTGTGCGCCTCGCATACGAGCTCGTACCCGTCTTTTAGGCCATGCATGCGTTGTTTTGGCTCTTTTTCTGGCCTCATCGGGTTGTCTCGGCTCTTGGCCCTTCTTGTCGTCGGGGCTCGGAACCCACTTCCGCATCATTCCCGCCCCCTTTGAGAATGTCCTTGTCCTCAAGGACTCATCCTCGACCATCCAAACCTCGGGCACATCCTCTTCGACCATACGTGTATACCAATCATGGTCCCCATCGACCTCGACCAAGCCTGCACTCTCGACATCGATATCCTCGTTCTCCACGTGCGTCTCCTCGCCAAGGCCCTCTTTGACCACGGGCAAGATCTTTTCCTCGACGTCGACCACTTCGGCTCCTTTGACCTCTATCTCGATGTGAGCCACTTCCTCGTCCATGAACAAGTCGCCGAATGTAGGTGGATCCTTGGACTCGACTCGCTCGACAATGAACTCGGTTACTTCGTCTTCGACATAGCCTGGTAGATCGAACGTAAACATGGCCTCTTCATTGACGAACTCCTCCATGATCTTGAGTTGCGTCTCTTCTAGATCTCTTCGCTCGTGCAACTCCTCCAAATACTCTTGCTCCCAAGGGGTTAATTCCCTCTTCAAACCTTCGAGATATTCAAGATCCTCGAGATCCATCTCATCCAATGGTTCGAATCTCATGTCTTTTTATTTTTTTTTGAAGACTTTAAAAGAAAATCGAAAAAGAAGAAAAATTCGAAAAAATTCGAATCTAGGGGAGGAAAAAAAAATAACAAAAGACTAGATGACA